CGAGAGTCTGAAACCTCTTCGTCTCCCCTTCTTAATCTAAGTCTAGTCTGTGGTTACGAGAGGAATGCGGCAGGCGGGATTGCAACCCGTAGAACCGCATCAAGACTCTGTGGGGAGTCTGCCCACCGATTGCAAGAACTCTGCAGGAACACAGGAGGAGTTTTGAAGACATGGAACTGAGAGGTGACCATTGCTTCCTTCTATAAACCCAATTATAACCCTTATCTGTACTTCTTGCTACAGTTTGACTGAGTGTACTTCGTGCATCACTATTTAACTTTGAGTTTGACTTCCAAGACACAAATCAGACTTGAATAAAGAAACATGTGAGCAATTTCAGTTTCACTTCTGTTGTTTGATTGAAAGCAGATTGTAAGTGGGTTTGCATCTGAGGGAAAGGCGGGAGGAAGTTGGTTTTGCTTGCGTTTGACTAGGTTAACCAGAGGTTGTGCATTGTACTAAGTTGGACGGCCCAGTTCAATGTTTATTTTGATTGCTTGGAGGACCAAATAAGTTTTCATAAGTTTTTATGCTTTGCTTGCTCTCACTTGCAAGGGCTGTTTGCAACTGCCTTTTTCCGGGACCAATCATAAGTTTGGATGGCTTAGTTGCCTTGTTTCATTTTGGGTTTCTCATGTTTATTGGTTTATGAAAGAAGGAGTTGAGCAAGTTTCATAAGTTTGGATGACTCTAACTTCTTGTAATGACCCGCCCAAAACACAGACTGAGAACACTGCTGATTTCTGGGATTTGTCAATGGAATGAATGCCTTGTTGTGATTCCCACATTCTGCTGTGGTCCCAAGTCTGTGTGCGTGCGTGCCTGCTGGTTTGCATGCCTGTCTGAGTGCTTGCCGGTTGTGTGTGTGTGCGTGCCTGCTGGGTTGCATGCCTGTCTGAGTGCTTGCTGGTTGGGTATGTGTGTGACCCGCCAGGGTACTTGTTGGTTGCAAGGCCCATCGGGCCGGTACTTACCTGTGGTCGTGACTTTGAAAGGTTGCAGGGGGGTAAACATGCCGGTAGCGGGGAGTAGGCCCACGACACTTAGACCAGCTGGGGAAAAACACTCAAGTAGCAGGTAGGCCGAGCAGAAGAAGAAAAAAAGTTGGCATTTTTAGAGGCCCAGTAGCGGTAGGTTAGAGGTAGGCCGGTACCAGTCCAAGTAGCCCAGGTCTAGGGTCTGTGTGGACAATAACAAAGCCTGCAATGATGTTTCCCTCCAAAAGGGAGGAGGTACCGGTTGCTKGGAGGCCGCTTGGCCTAGGAAGTCACCGCCCAAGAGGCCGGTAGGCCGCTATATCTTCAGGAAGAGCGGTGAACTCTTCCTGATTTGCGGTATGCAAGGATTGGCGACATGCTGCTGGAGCACAACGCTGGACTGAAGCAGCGCTGCTTGGAGGTGAAGGTCCGCTAGGGCTCAGCCTCGCTGTGGCGAGCACCCCAGCTTGAGGAGGAGGAAGAAAGGGGGCATGGTAGGAGTGGTAGGGCACTTACCTGGCTATGGTGGACACCGTCTTCATCACCTTGTTGGGCGCTGCATCTGGAAGGCCCCAGTCGGGGTAGCGCTGCACCAGAGCAGCTCAAGGTAGAGTCAGGCATAGCGGACCAAGTCAAGCAGCGGCATAGCTGCTTTGGGTTGTCTTGGGACATCAGCGCAGCATCATAGCTGTCTCCCGGTAGTCCGCCATGGCCTATGCATGAGAGAGGAGGATGAAGGAGGGAAGCCATGACCATGGTGGACTTTCTTGTTGTTGTTGTTGTTGTTGTTGTTGTCGTGAGTTGAGTCAGCAGTAAGGGGGAACTTCGGACATTGATTCTGGTTCATCCATTCATTGTTATTATTATTATTGAGAGAAGAATAAGATTGGT